CTGCTGATCAGCCCCGCCTCTCTCTCTCTCTCTTCAAGAGATCAGCAGTTCAGCCCACTTGTCTGCTGCACGAGCAGCCTGGCGTTCAGTCGAGCCTTCGGTCGTTTTGGATGTTACAAACCTGGCTCTTTATATATATACTAGAAGCCCAGTGCACAAAAATTTGTGCACTCGGGGGGTGGGGGGTGGGGTCCCTCAGCCCGGCCTGTGCCCTCTCGCAATCTGGGACCCCTCAAGGGATGACCACCTGCTGGCTTAGGTCTGCTCCCCAGGGGCTTGGGCCTAAGCTGGTTTAATCAGACATCCCTCTGGTAGCCTGGCAGCCCTCGGGGGATGTCCACTTGCCAGTGGGGAACAGACCTAAGCTGTAGTCGGACATCCTTAGCGCTGCTGAGGAGGCAGGAGAGGCTCCCACCACCAGTATAGCTCATGTACTGGCAGCCATCAGCCTGGCTTGTGGCTGAGCAGAGCTCCCCCATGTGGGGGTACTGCTGGGATGCCTGGCCAGCCTGGGTGAGGGGCTGATGGCTGTTTGCAGCTGGTCACACCCCATTCAGGGTGGGGGTCCCCACTGGGGTGCCTGGCCAGTCTGGGTGAGGGACTGAGGGCCGTTTTCAGGCTGGCCGGCGACTGAAGCTCCCAGCCTCTCCTTTTTTTCTTTTTTATTCTGGGATTTATTTACCTTCAATAATTGAAACTTTGTTGCCGCCACTGGAGCTGAGAGCCGGGCTCCTGCTCGTTCCAGCTCTGAGGCCACGGCCTGCTGAAAGCAGGTATCTGGGGTTTGTTTAGCTTCTATAATTGAAACTTTGTTGCTTTCGGAGCTCAGAGCCATGCCACGGCAGGCGGGGAACCTTGGCTTCCTCCATCACTGGAGCAAGCAAGCCTCCTGCTCACTTCAGCTGCGTCGCTGCCGGTCGCCATCTTGGTTGGGTTAATTTGCATATCTTGCTGATTAGCCTATGGGAGGCATAGTGAAGGTACGGTCAATTACCATGTTTGTCTATTATTAGGTAGGATAGATATATAAAACCCTAATATGCAAATAGACCAAATGGCGGAACAACCGAACAACTGGTTGCTATGACGTGTGCTGACCACCAGGGGACACACGCAAAACATGGCGGGCATCAGCCACGGATGGATGGTGGACTAGGTGAGCGGGGGCACCAGACCAAGGCGGGGCACCAGTCACTGTCATCTGGCAAGCCTCTGGTGGTTACTGAAAATTCTTTGCTCTTGCATGCCGTGGTCCCGCCCGGCGCTTGCACCTGCTGCCGGTGCCAGAGCCACTGCTCGCACCCGCTGCTGGTGCCTGGCGCTGGCCCCAATCACTTGGTGCCGCCAGTGGGTGCGAGCGGCGGCTGCTGGTCCCAATCGCCCCTGAGGGCTTCTCCACCTCCCCCTGCTCCTGAGGGGCAATCAGGGCACCAGCTGCCGCTTGCACCCAATTGATGGTGCTGGCCCCACTCCCACCGCTGCTGGTGCCGACCCCAATCGCTCTGCACCATCAGAGGGTGTGAGTGGGGCTGGCACCATCAGCGCATGGGAGCAGCAGCGGCAGGAGTGGGTCTGCTGGTAGACAGGGGACCTGGGGCTGCAGGGGGGAGGGGCTGGGCGGGGGCCAAGACCTGCCCCTGTGCCCACCGCAGCCTTGTAGCCCACAGTTCCTTTCTTCTTCTTTTTAAAAAAAATATATTTTATTGATTGTTACAGAGAGGAAGGGAGAGGGAGAGAGAGTTAGAAACATCACTGAGAGAGAAACATCAATCAGCTGCCTCCAACACACTTCCCACTGGGTATGTGCCCACAACCAAGGTACATGCCCTTGGCCGGAATCGAACCTGGGACTCTTTTTTTTTTTTATGTTAAATTTTTTTTTAAATTAAATCTTTATTGTTCAGATTATTACATTTGTTCCTCTTTTTCCCCCCCCATAACTCCCCTCCTCCCAGTTCCCGCCCCACCCTCCGCCCTCACTCCCCACCCACTGTCCTCATCCATAGGTGCACGATTTTTGTCCAGTCTCTTCCCGCATCTCCCACACCCCTTTTCCCCCCAAGAATAGTCAGTCCATTCCCTTTCTATGTCCCTGATTCTATTATAATCACAAGTTCATTCTGTTCATCAGATTATTTATTCACTTGATTCTTAGATTCACTTGTGGATAGATGCATATTTGTTGTTCATAATTTGTATCTTTACCTTTTTCTTCCTCTTCCTCTTCTTAAAGGATACCTTTCAGCATTTCATATAATCCTGGTTTGGTGGTGATGAACTCCTTTAGCTTTTCCTTATCTGTGAAGCTCTTTATCTGACCTTCAGTTCTGAATGATAGCTTTGCTGGATAAAGTAATCTTGGTTGTAGGTTCTTGGTATTCATCACTTTGAATATTTCTTGCCACTCCCTTCTGGCCTGCAAAGTTTCTGTTGAGAAATCAGCTGACAGTCGTATGGGTATTCCCTTGTAGGTAACTGAGTTTCTTTCTCTTGCTGTTTTTAAGATTCTCTCTTTATCTTTTGCTCTTGGCATTTTAATTATGATGTGTCTTGGTGTGGTCCTCTTTAGATTCCTTTTGTTTGGGGTTCTCCGCGCTTCTTGGACCTGTAAGTCCATTTCTTTCACCAGGTGGGGGAAGTTTTCTGTCATTATTTCTTCAAATAGGTTTTCAATATCTTGCTCTCTCTCATCTTCTGGCACCCCTATAATTCTGATGTTGGTACGCTTGAAGCTGTCCCAGAGGCTCCTTACACTATCCTCACATTTTTGGATTCTATTTTCATTTTGCTTTTCCGGTTGGGTGTTTTTTGCTTCCTCGCATTTCAAATCATTGACTTGATTCTTGCGCTCCTCTGGTCTGCTGTCGGGAGTCTGTATAATATTCGTTATTTCAGTCCGTGTATGCTTAATTTCTAGTTGGTTCCCCAATATAACATCGAGGGTCTCATTAGTTTTCTTGTAGATCTCATTAAGTTTATCAGCGGCTTCTAAACAGTTCTTGAGAGACCTTAAAAGTGTGGTTCTGAACTCTATATCTTCCATTGACAATTTTGTCCTGTTTCTTTGTCTCCGCATTTTGTTATGCTTCCTTGGTGCACCCCCTAGTGGTCTTTGTGCGCAGTCTTATAGTTAAACCTTGATTGTTGTAGCTAATACCAGGGAGGGTTTGACCTCCAGGCCAAGTGGCTATGAGAATCAGCTGTGTCTCTAGGGAGGTGCTAATCTAGCCTTTGCCTGAGGCTATCCGGCAAATGCCTCTGTGCAGGGCTTGGGTGGGGCGGGTCGCACAGGATCAACAGGGTGGGCCGGAGAGAGCAGTTATGGCGGCTCTCAGTCCTGTCCCCAGGGGCTCTGCCTCTCTGAGTCCCAGCACCCGCTGCAAAGCTCGGAGAGAAAGCTGCACTCTCTCTGACTGAAGCCAGACAGTCCCGCTTCATTTGAGTCTGGGTCCCTAAAGACTCGCCTGTATCTGGAGCTCAGAGTCTGCGACTCCCTCCCGATTGGAAACGCCAACCGCGCCCTCCCCAGCCAGCCCGCTCCGCGCACTCCGCACCTCAGAATTTGACTTCAGCACTGCGCCTCCTCTGAGTGTCCGTATGAGTTTCTCTTTCCTCCTAGTTGTAGGACTTCCACTCAGCCAGCGTTCCTGTGGTTCTGGGTGATGTCCCTTCCGTTTTTTAGTTTCACTTTTGAAGTAGTTGTTCAAGGCAGCAAACTCCAGCGTTAACCTATGCCGCCATCTTGGTTCTCCCGAACCTGGGACTCTTGAGTCCACAGGCCGACGCTCTATCCACTGAGCCAAACCAGTTAGGTCCCACAGTTCCTTTCAAGGTGCACTGGGCCCCTAGTATAGATATAAAAGCCTAAGTGACTATTCGACCGTTCAACTGGTAGCTATGACATGCACTGACCACCAAGGGGCAGATGCTCAACACACAGGCATGGAAACATGGAACAGACTAATGAATCTCAGAGGGAAGCGGGGAGGGCGGGAAGAGATTAACCAAAGATCTTATATGCATACTAGAGGCCCAGTGGCTTGCGAGGATTGGGCTGAAACTGGCCGCCTGACATCCCCTGAAGAGTCCTGGATTGTGAGAGGGTGCAGGCCAGGCTGAGGGATCCCACCAGTGCATAAATCCGTGCACCGGGCCTCTAGTGATATAATAAACAGCTCCTGTCCAGAACTCCTAAAACCTTTGTAATTTCCTAAGCAATAAAAGTGCTAGGGGCAGCTTTTTGTTCTAAAGTTTAGCCTCTGACCATGTTTTCTGAGGCAGAGCTCATAAATCCCTTGAATTTCCTGGGTGATTGGAGCACTTTTTGTCCTAATGAGGCAACTCTTGGTGGGCTTCTGGGTAGCCTCAGGATGTGGTTGGTCACCAGAAAGAACAAGCCTTGATTAGAAGCTTGAAACTTTCCACCCTCCCTTCTATCTTCCAGGGAGGGGAGAGGAGAGAGACTGAGTTAACTGTCAGTCATGACCATGCCTATGTGATGAAGTCTCTCTTTGGAAAGCTTCCAGGTTGGTGAACACATACACCCCAAATCCATTGGCACAGAAGCTCCTGCACTCAGGACCCACACTTCACCCTGTGAATCTCTTCAACTAGCTGTTTATCTGTATCCTTTGTCATATCCTTTATTATATAAGAAACCAGTAAACGTGTTTCTCTGAGTTTTGGAAGCAATTTTAAATTATTGAACCTGTTGAGGGGTTCAGAGGAGAAGCACAGGTGATGTCTGAGACTTACAATTGCCATCTGAAGTGGGGACAGTCTTGTGGGACTTAGCCCTTAACTTGTGGGATCTGATGCTAACTCCAGGTAGATAGTATCGGAACTGAATTGAATGACCACAGCTGTGTCAGAGAATTGGTTAGTATGGCAAAAACTAAACAAAACCTGTGTCTGGTCCCAGAAGTATTCTGTATAAGTAGTAAAGGAGAAAAACAAGTCTTTCCTTACACTACCCTTGGAGGGGTGGTTGTAGGGGGTGGGGGTAAGTAGGGTAGTTTCTAAGGGGACACAAACCTGGATCCCTTTCCATTCTCCCACTTGAGGACATTTCCTGTAGAAAAGTTCAGCTGGTCCTGTTGTGCCCAGATTTCATGATTCCCAAGAACCCACAGGGAGCCAGCGAGTCCGATGCAAAAGCAAAGAGTCATTCATTTCAAACCTAGGTTTGGCTCCCCTGCCACACTCACCGATGCAACGGTAAGCTCCAGTGGACGAGAGAGAGAAAACTCTGTGTGGAGAGAGCTTTTATAGGGGGTTGGGGTAAGGGGAGGAGAAAAGACTGTGGGCCCTGCCGATTGGCCAGGCGCGAGTCGGTGTCTCATTACACAGGATGTGGTCATAGTGATGGCGTGCACTTCCCTTGACTATCTTCCGGGAAGAAGCTTGCTGAGCACATGGCCAAGTTAAGATGGAGGGCATAGCCCTTACCCTGGGGCAAGGTGGAGGGCGTACTCCTCGCCCTTTCATTCCCTAAAAATAGTTGATATTTACACAGGGGAGAGGAAGGTAAGTGGATGAGGGAAATAGTAAATATTTTTTTTTTTAATATATTTTATTGATTTTTCACAGAGAGGAGGGGGGAGAGATAGAGAGTTAGAAACATCGATGAGAGAGAAACATCGATCAGCTGCCTCCTGCACATCTCCTACTGGGGATGTGCCTGCAACCAAGGTACATGCCCTTGACCGGAATTGAACCTGGGACCTTTCAGTCCGCAGGCCGACGCTCTATCCACTGAGCCAAACCGGCTTCGGCGGGAAATAGTAAATATTTACTAAATGCCTATTGTGTGCTGGTACTGTTAGTGCCAGAAATAAACAGTGAGCAAAACAGACCCTACTCATGCCCCTGTGTAGCTTACAATCTAGTGGGAGGGACAGGCACAAATAAATAACCACCTAGTCACGTGTGTACTACAATCTGCAATAGGTTTTATGAAGTAAAAGGTATAGGCTAATAATGAGTTTATGTGTGGGGAAGGGTGCTGATCCAACCTAGTATGAAGAGAGGCCACTCCAAAGGGGCATCTGAGCTTGAATTTGAAGGATACTAGGAGTTAACTAGGTGATAAGGGCATGAGCTAAGAGCATACCAGGAAGAAGGAACATCTGGTGCAAAGGCCCTGAGGCAGGAGGAATAAGGGAAGTCTGAGGAACTGAAAAGCCATTAGGAGGACTGGAATGCATGGGGGTGGGCAAAAGAAGGGGTGGGACCAAGAGGCCAAATTAAGAATTTGGGCCTTTATGTAAAATAATTTAAGGATTTTCAACATAAAGTTTCATAACAATTTTGTCCTCTTTAAATAGATCTCTGGTTACAACATGAACAAAAGACCAATGAGCAGCCCTGTACTAGTCCAGAGCAAGGAATGGTAGCGGCTGGATTCGGTGGTAGCAGAGATGAACAAAGCCAGAGAGGAGAATGCATAGTTTGTGAAGAGTGCAGCCACCTCCCCCATGGCTGATGGCTGTATTGATGAACTTCTTCATTCACTTAACAAATGCTTGATGCTCAGGTTCAAGTCCCAGCTTAGGCCCTAAACCTGTCTGGGCATCAAGGGGCAAGGCCTAAAAGAAGCAGAGCTCAGCTAGTGTGGGGGACAGCTGCGCGGCTGGTTCTTCAGAAGAGAACCCCTCCGCGGCCCTACCACTAGAGCACTCCCGCGCAGAAGCAGGCTCACATTCCATCTCCTCCCTCCTCCCTCCTCCCCGGTCTGCACCAGGTGTGCTTCCCAAAATTGCCCTCCAGGGAAGTGAAGGAGTTAAGTTTCCGGCTCCCCTTACGGGAGTTTACTTGGAAAGTTTACGGGAGTTTCCAACACAAATCTCGATGCTGTCAGACAGAGAAGCCGCGGGGCACGGCCCCGACATCCCAAGCCTGGCTCCCTAGTTCCTGGACGCCGGCCGACCAGGAAGCACGGGTACCAGGAAGAAGCAGAAGGCAGAGGAGTGCCGGCAGGAGGGCGGAGCGGACCTCTGTTACGTGCAGGATCACGCCCCTTGGGGAGGGCGCTGCGCCTGCGCCGGAACGGCCATCTCGCTCCCGGAAGTGGAGGGTGTGCCAGGAGAGAGCCGCTGGGTCTCGGTGCCCAGAGGCAGAAGCGCTCGCGAAGCTCGCCCGTCAGCCCCCGACTGCCATGTCAGCCTTTGACACCAACCCCTTCGCGGACCCAATGGACGTAAACCCCTTCCAGGTAGAGCTTCCAACACATCGCGCGCTCCAGTGCCGGAGGCCGCCGCCCGGCCTTTTCCCCAGTGCCAGGAGACGTGGCGGGGGAGGGACGGGCCGACTGCCCAATGGGAGAGCGGGCTCTCCAGGCTGGCCTGTCGTAGCGTGTGGGGGGCGGCACCAGCAGCAGGTGGAAGGCTGGGCGCTGGTAGCCTGAGAAGAGCTGCGACCCTCTAACTGCCCAGACAGAGCCCCTCTGACCGGGTGCCCCGGGGAAAGGGACTGGAGCAGACTGGAGGTTCCTCGAGTGTCAGAGAGTAATGGCTTCACCTACCACAGGTGCTCGGTGAAGTGTGACTACCACAATCCTGCAGTCTTGGTTTGAGTGAGTCACGTTAGGAGAGGGGTGACAGCAGCACAATGAAGAGGTGGAAGGCTTAGTGGGATGGAGAAATGTGGAGATCCCAAGACAACCCCGTCTCCTCTCCCCCAACAGCCAAACTAGCGTTTAAGGTATAAGAGGACCCCAGAGATTTGTCAGGAAAGGAAAGCTAGGGAGAGAGTGAGAAGCTGAAATACGGCCTTGATAAGAATGATACACTTTGGCCCGGCCAGTGTTGCACAGTGGTTGACCATCGGACCCAGCACCAGGAGGTCACCGGTTCCATTCTCATTGGGGCGCATGCCTGGCCTGCGGGCTCCATCCCCGGTGGGGGGCAGTCAGGAGGCAGCCCACCAATGTTGCTGTTTCTCTCTCATCCATGTGTCTATCTCTCTTTCCCTCTCCCTTCTCTAAAATCAATAAAAACATTAAAAAAAGAAGTACACACTTTGGCCAAGAGTCTGCTTTGGACTGGATTGGCTAGATAGGAGAGCCCAGGTTAGGGAGGGAAGAGAAGTGAGAGAGCTCTGAGGGTCTTGATGTTGGTCTGATGGACCTGTAGGTGGTGGCAGGGTAGTTGAGATGCAGTGACCTATGAGTTGACCTCACATTTTAATCAAACGATGGAGGAAGAAAGAGTCTTCCTACTTAAAGCCAAAACTTTTACGCCTTTGAGCTAAGGGGATAGGGGCTCTCTTTTTCCATGATGAAATGCTGGGACTCCTGTTAGTGCCCAAGCTCCTGTGCCTCTTGTTTCACGTCTGCTTAAAACCAGTTCTAGGAAACCTTACTTGTGTTCACTGGTGATTTATGAGCCCTGAGGTTTCTGCTCTGTGAGGATGTCACCAGGCACATTAGTAATTCATCCTGCTTGGACTTTGGTAGTTGTCAGCTTCATAGTTTCTTGGAGGTGTAGGGGAAGTTTTTGGAGGGGTCCTTCCTGCAGCTAACAGCATGAGCTTTCTCACCTTGAATCTCCTCAAGGACCAAAGCCAACCCAAAAGAGACTAGAACAAATTTACTATACGTTGTCAGGAAACTCAACATTTTATGCTTCTTTCATGGTCTCAAGGTACCTTAGCTAATGGGGACCCTCAAGGCAATTTGTTAACGTGTTCTTTGTAACATCAGGGAGTTCTTGTATCTTAATACTTCCTGACAGGACCGTTAGCAGGACCTTGTCTCTTAGGTGATTCAGTCATCTCTGTTAGTTGAGTAAAGAAAGAGCATTTGGCCCTAGCCGTTTTGGTTCAGTGGATAGAGCATCAGCCTGGGCACCAAGGAGTCGCAGGTTTGATTCAGGGTCGGGGCTCATGAGGAGGCAACCAATTGATGTGTTTCTAAACACATCGATGTTTCTCTCTGTCTTTCCTTCTCTCTCCTACTCGACCTAAAAAATCAATGGAAAAATATCCTCAGTAAGGATTAACAAAAAACACAAACAAAAAAGAATATTTGCATTTTATTTGCCAGTGTCTTCTGGTAACTGTTTTTGCTTTAATTACAAAACTGCTGTATAATACTGGAGTTTGAGTTTTCATAAGGATCTAGTAGGCTTTTGGTGTGTGTGCTGTGTAATCATTCGCTTTTTTTTTTTTTGTCCTGTCAGAAACAGAAGTAAAATATCTGTTGCTATCTGATAGAGGTGGTCAGCTTGTCCCCACGGCTAGTAGTGGGCAAGATAGTTGGCCTGAGTTCAGCTTTGTATTAGTACTAGCTTGAAAGTATTAAACTACATCTTCACCCCCAGAAATGATTGTGCAAACGGTGGTAGAAGAAACTTCTGCATTCAAGCAAGACAATCTGCCCATCAGGCAATCCCAGAATATGGCAGGATAGGAAACAGCTGTGGGCCTGTGAAGAGCAACATCTGGTTGGGGAATTCTTTGAAGGAAGAAGAGAGTTGGCTGGCTATGATTCTTCTTCATACTCTGGGCTGGTTTCCCTCTTGGTGCACAGTTGTGTGGGGAGAAGGAGCTTTGGAAGTGAGGCCCCCAAGCTCCTTCTGGAGCTGCTCTCCCTCTCCTTGTAATGGCAGGATCTGGTTCCCTGACTGCCAGGGCTGGGACAGTGGAGGGTGCAAGCCTTTGGGTGACAGGGTGTGAGCCCAGCTTCATTACCCATGGTGTTGGCACAGAACTCAGGAGGGAGGTGAAGGCCAGCCTTCAAAACAGAGTCCTTTGTTTCTATCACCTGATGGTGGGTTGTGAAAATATATTTAGCATCCAGAGTCCATGGTGGACTATTAAAGCTGGGAATATCCTCAGAAGTCTGTTCTAACCCCTTCAGTTAGAGATGAGAAAAACAAGAACCCAATGAGGATGGGACATGCCTGAGTCACTGGATAATTTGCAGCAAGAAGGAGCCCAGACCTGGATCTCATTCCTAGAACAGTGTTTTTCTAAAGGTTTTTAAGCTCAGATATTGTCTTAAACTGCTCTGGGGTTATTTAGCCAGCCAAGGAAAAAAATGTTATGTCATCATCACCACCACCATCCTTAAAATGAGAGTACTGCCTGGCTGGTGTGGCTCAGTGGTTGAGCATTGATCTATGAACCAAGAGTTCCCTGGTTCGATTCCCGGTCATGTGCCTTGCCCAGGTTTCGGGCTCAATCCCCAGTAGGGGGCGTACAGGAGGCAGCCGATTGCTGTTTCTCATCGATGTTTCTGTCTCTATCCCTCTCCCTTCCTCTCTAAAATCAATAAAAAAAAAAAAAACATTTTAAAAAATGAGAGTACTGATAGGGGTGAAAGTAACAAATTAGCATTAGCAGAGCTATTTTTTCCCCCCAGTGTGTGGTGCTGGAATAATTGCCTTATGCTTTTTAAAAAATATATATTTTTAAATTGATTTCAGAGAGGAAGGGAGAGGGAGAGAGAGATAGAAACATCAATGATGAGAGAGAATCATTGATCAGCCGTCTCCTGCACGCCCCACATTGAGCTGGCAACCCGGGAATTGAACTGTGACTTCTTGGTTCATAGGTTGACGCTCAACCATGCCAGCTGGGCAAGACAGTACTTTTAAAGTAGTGTATGGTCTGAGTAATAAGTTTTTGGGAATCACTACATATTTCTTTTTTTTGAAGATTGATAAGGCTTGTGAATTTGTTAAAGGCTCTGAGAAATCCTACAGTAAAGATATTTACTCAACTTTGACCCAACATTTCTCAAAGTTATTAAACCATGGAATCCTTTTTCTGCTAACTTTTGTAATATTTCATGAAACTTCCAGTTCTCCTTTAAGTTCTCTCTCTCTCTCTCTCTCTCTCTCTCTCTCTCTCTCTCTATATATATATATATATATATATAACAATATTATTATAATAATAATACATATATATTATTGATTTCAGAGAGGAATGGAGAGGGAGGGAGAGAGAAAAACATCAATGATGAGAGAGAGAATCATTGTCTGGCTGCCTCCTGCACATCCCCTACTGAAGACTGAGGTCACAACCTGGGCATGTGCCCTGACTGGGAATCAAACCGTGACCGCCTGGTTCATAGGTCGATGCTCAACCACTGAGCCATGCCAGCCAGACCTTACCCATGTTCTTTATCCACGTCCACTCCCACCACTGCTCCACACTGTGGGCGTGGCCTTTTATGACCTCTTCCTTGTGCATGGTATAGTTATAATTGGAATTATTAGAAAACTTCTTACACAGTAAGAGCTGCGAAAGAAAAGTTGTCACAAGAGTGCAGCTGAAGGTTTACTAAACTTGTAGGAGGAAGCAGGAAACTGCAAGCCAAGTGTTGCTGATTTCACAACCTCCAGTGGCACTCCCTAACCCCTCTATTAACGATGGTGCATCTGCTTTGTACTCTGTGGAGATGCTTGTCTTGCTTTGGACTGATTCCAGTATATCTGCTCCTAAAAGTTTCTCAGTCTTGTCATGGTAATGAGGTAAAAGGCTAAAAAGGTAGGCATTGTACTGTTCGTTTGATTTTTCAGCAGTCCACTAACAAGCAGGTCACTCAGGCACATGTCAGCGTTGCTTTCCTCCTTGGTATTTCTGCCAGGTTACCCCGGTGGCCCGCATTGATCTGAAGAAGGGGATTGGACCAGCTGGTGGTACTGAAGCAGTGGTTCTCAACCTTCCTAATGCTGCGACCCTTTAATACAGTTCCTCATGTTGTGGTGACCCCAACCATAAAATTATTTTCGTTGCTACTTCATAACTATAATTTTGCTACTGTTATGAATCGTAATGTAAATATCTGACATGCAGGATGTATTTTCATTGTTCACAACCCACAGGTTGAGAACCGCTGGAATAGAGAAAGCCTTTAGGTCTTCATGAGTTTCCAAATCACACAATTTATCACTTTCACATGTTGCCTCTGCAGTTAAAAGATAATCTCAGTGGTGTGGCTGCTTCCTGAGGATTTAAAACATTTTTCTCCTGTGGGAGGAAAAAGTGGTGACAGAAATGTGATTTGGGTGTAAACAAAGTTATATGAGGTTCTCTGCACAGACACTGAAGGTTTTGCTGCTTTCCAGAGAGGGTAGGCTCCAGCTTGACTCTAACTTTGGAATTTCAAAACCACCAAATGGACCTGGTAGGAGTTTCCCATGGGACAGGAGAATTATCTCAAGAAATTTATCTTATACATTTAGAAGTGTCCTGGAGTTCTGT